TATACAGGGTGAGTCAAAATTCACTCCCCAGCGGCCGGATATATATTCTAAAATAAAAAATAAAACAAAAATGTAGAATACTAAAATCTCGAAAACGAAGCCGTTTTCGGAAAATTTTGTAAAGAGAAATTCAAATTTATATATTTTTTTGTTTAATATTAACACCATTAAAATCCATACAAAATAAGAAATAGCAAAAACGAAGATCCTTCTGGCTTTGGCTAACCTTCAAAAACATTACCATTTTCGTTAATATACTTCTGCAATCTGTGGTAGAAACTCCTGGCAACAGAACAGAAATTAGCTTAATTTATTTCCGCTACTGCTTCATGAATTCTGCCAATAACATCATCCCCGCCAATAGGCACAGTAACATAAACCCTTTTCTTTTCTGTATTCCCATAACCAAAGGTCTATCAGAGTCAAATCAGGAGACCGGGGTGGCCATGGTGTTGGTCCACCTCGTCCAATCCATTTATTAGGAAAACGGCGGTTCAAAATATGTATGTACTTGTAATGTGGCATGTGCGGGCGCACCATCATGCTGAAACCACATAGTTGTAGAGGAATATTTTGTAACAAACCTGGCAGAATGTTCTCGCAAAAATTACTGTAATTTTCACCATTCAGTTTTTGTCCGGCCAACTTGATTAGTCAGTCGAAAATTGCGCATTTATTGAACTAAAATTTATTCGAAAACGGCTCCGCTTTCGAGATTTTAGTATTCTACATTTTAATAATTCACGAAAATTCCACGGTAAATACATTTTTAGGCGTTATAAAATATTTAGAAAATAAGAAATTGTATACTACATATTTATTAAATAAAGTTCGGTTAAAAATAGTGTCGTTCTTTTAATTGGAAATTAGGAGTCAATGTAACGAATAGCCTCAGGCGACGCACATGATAGAATAGTCCAACTCACGCTCCATTCATAACAGGGCTGCAGTTTGAATTCTGACCAATAGGAATTCGATAAACGCAACCGATGTCGACGGATGGACTAGAGATGGGCGCGAGTGTCATTTCATTTCTTTAGAACTAAATTAACTTAATTATTTTCTCGTTATTTAACCTGTTCACATGATTCATGGATTTTAAATAAAGGGTACAAATCCTCGCGAGGATAATACGATATATTTGCTATACATAATAATTATATAATTATATTTTGCATAGTTTATACACAATACATTTTTGAACGCGTACACATCTCGACCAAAATTTGACCTATTCTTCGGGTTAAAGACACATATTGTCCGCTCTCTATAGATAAAATATACTATGTAAGAATGGTGTCAATATGGAACAAATTTGACGTCTGAGTTGTTCTCAGGTGACGGCATGCGCAAACACGATTTGAGCCGGTTGACGAGTGCACCATGCTATTTTCACATCATCACGGCTAGGCTAGACCACAATATACTAATCAACATACTGTGGGCTAGACCTCAATTTGACGTATAAGGTTGAAGTGTTTATGTCGATTTGATCTCACTATGAATCGCTTTCGTGAAATGTCAGTTATTTGTTCGCTGATAAATATCGAACTCTGACCGAATTTCTTAACGAGCAATGTTTTTGTGGATCTCAATAAGCAGAAGTAACGGTGTACAAACACCTCACAATATATTTGCTGGTGGATATGGGATATGGTATAACTTCCGAAGTCACTTGAACTTGTATAAATACGGCTAGGAATAAAATTTAATGAGTTTCATAGGCGTCACTAAAACAGTTTTCTGCTAATAATAATTTGTACATAATGTGTAGAAAATTTCTATTATATGTTCATTTGACCAACAACATATTTTAATTATTTATGTCCTCAAACAATTTTATTATATTGATGGTAAATTTCGTTTTGCTTCGTTTCAAAAGGTCTCCAAAATGTCATGTTGTCATAATATTAGTAAACAAAATGTCCCTCCTATTTCTCCCTTTCGCAATTGTAATATGAATGATTAATAGAAGGTGCCTATAATGAATTAAAATTAACTGAATCACAACAAATTCCGCATTACCGCACTGCTAGGCCATTTGTTGACAACCGAATTTATGGCCAGGTGGCCTAGTGCGGCTGTGTTTGTACCGCATTTACCCGTGCGCTCATTCTTCAACTGGGCGACTAGACCTGTATATGGGTATAGCTCTTAGAATAGTATTTTATATTCTAAGGTATGGTTAAATAAAAATGGCAGCAGCAGCAATTATAAGGACAGTGATGCTCACAATGAAACACATGTACGTATAAAATACTTATCCTATCCACAGTCTGTGAATCTGGTTCTGATTAGTTTTCCTGAATTATTCTTCTACCTATTCCAAGACACCTTTTCATATATATCTCCTATAAAATACTTCGTTTTCGAAATCTAAATAGTTATTTTTCATGTGTTATTATTTTATAGTATATAAAATAATTCACAAAATATTCTCTCTTAAAATGTCTCGAATAAGATTATTCAGCGGTGAAGAAAGACTGCAAAACATGTATTAAAAAATCGAATAAAGCAGTGCGGAATATTTTTTATTCGTGCGAACAGAATTTTCTTTAGGCAAGACCCTTAATAAAATTCTAGTTTCAGTAAAATAATTTATATTTTTAAAAAGGTGAAGGAAGTTTTGAACTGCGCGGATTATGTTTCTTTTTTATGATTATATTAGTATATTCATTTATTTTTGCATTTAATGCTTTTTTCGGCAAATTTATCGTTATTAAGCAATAGCAATTTACTTAATTCCAGAATACTTAGCAATTTTTTAAGGAATTTATTTTTCGTTTCTAGTCCGACCCTGTTTAACATTGTTTCGGATAGAAAGTTGGGTTATGCGATACTGTTACGATGGTAGTTAATAAATAACAATAACAATAGTACAGTACAGTGTACAGAGTGTACATGGTTAACAAGTCAACTACAATATATAAGCTATTATGTGACCACAGTTAAACAAGTGTTCGACGTAATACGCCTTCGAATTTATTTATTAATATATGTACCTAGTTACAAAGATAGTTGTTTGCTTTTAAGGTAAGTGGTTTTTTAATAAATTTTTATAAACATACTTGTATCAGTAAGTACCTATCAACTTATCTAAAATGTGTATCACTCACACGTACTACTATTACTATTTAGTATATAATTTATAGGTTTTATACCTAGTGCAGAAAATACATATTAGGAACGGGTAGGTAGGTACATTACAAATGAATTAAACTTTTTTATTTGTTAAATATTAAATAAATATCTCGTATCCTTTTCCACTTTACTGTTTGCTCTCGAGTTTAGAGTCTATCCTTTACAGTCTGAAACATGGGCGCCCACAGAAAAATTTCTCAGGGGGGGGGGGGGCAAATCGAAATTGTGGATGTGTATTTAGGAGAAGTTTAAAACATATATCTCACGAAATTTTAGACAGGCAATACATATCTCCTCTCAAAAGCGTTTGCGGTAATGGAAATGCAATTTGTTGGTTTATACTGTAATCAATCAATGCTTTGTTACAATGCAAATTATGATGGAAATTAAAATGTAGGTAATAAATTTAATAAACTAAAGTTAAGTCGGGAAATAAGGTACTTATTCTTGAATTCTCATCTTAATTTTAGTTTATTGAATTTATGTTAGTACAATTCAATTAATAAAAGATGTTATAGAAATTATATTTTTTAAATTGCATTTCCCCATCATACGTCTGAAAATACGAGTAACAGGTATATGATTTTTATTCAACTGATAATATTTCTGCTATTATCCAAGAAAATTCCTAATCTCATAAATACAAAACTGGAAAGAAAGTTTGATAATAAAGAACATCTACCATTCTACACTGTTTCATTTCCATTTTTCAAGCATTTTCCATACATTGCCTGTCTAACGACCCGTTATAAATATAGGAGACAGATACAAAAAGAGTTACTACTGAAATAAAGTGTATTAAACAAGATAGCAAAAACTAAAATCATTATTTAAAAGCACAAAAAATAAATAAATTTAACAATAATCACAGGATTACGTCTAAACTAAAACATTTTGTAAATAAATAATAATAATAATTATTATTATTATTATTTAAAAAACGTAACAAAAACAAAGATAAATAACTCTATTTGATCATCCACTAATTCTACTAATATTCAGAATTATAATGCTTATTATTTGAAAGCCATTGTTCTCGGATAGAAATTGTTCAGCATTTATATACATTAATTCTGTTTTCAGTTGTAAACGACGCTTGAGACATAAACTTAATAAATTAAACAGTTTTATAAAAAGAAAAGTGATAAAATTAAAAATGCGTCAACAAGATTTTTTTATTTAATTTTTTCTGTTATAAGCAGCTAATTACATTAATTATATTTTCTTATGATCAAATATTTTTACTCAACTTTGAACATGAGAAGATTAAATCTCTGGGGGTCACGGCCACCCTGGCCCCTCCCTGCGGACGCCCATGGTCTGAAACAAAAAAATCGAAAGAATTATGTACATATCTCGTATTACAGTGTTGCCGTTGCCACTGTGATGTGTAATAAATCTTATAAATCATTTGTACAAATTAAAAAATATACAATAATAAAATGTGATTACACGCATGCGAATGCGAATCAATGGGCTGTCAGTTAATTAAAAAAAAATGAAAGGAAAATCCTAGCTGCAGGCGGTGAATGAAGCAATTCTTTGTTTTTTTTTAAACCAGTCTGGTTCGCTGCATTATCTTATAACTAGAGAGCGGACAATGTGTGTCTTTAACCTGAAGAATAGGTCAAATTTTGGTAGAGATGTGTACGCGTTCAAAAATGTATTATGTATAAACTATGCAAAATATAATTATTATGTATAGCAAATATATCGTATTATCCTCGCGAAGATTTGTACCCTTTATTTAAAATCCATAAATCATGTGAACAGGTTAAATAACGAGAAAATAATTAAGTTAATTTAGTTCTAAAGAAATGAAATGACACTCGCGCCCATCTCTAGTCCATC